CCCCCCCAAGACCACCTCTCACACAGCTCCCCACCACCCCTCACGCACACAGGTTGCAAACTTGGCCCCCACCAGAGGCCTATACTGCCTCCAGTAAGCCCACTACTGCCCCCACTAAGACCACCACACACACACACACACACACACACACACACACGGTAGTGTGAGCACAGAGACAGACCCCCAGCATGGTGTCCTACCCTGCTCCCACTAGGACACACACACACACGCACACACGCACACACCACACACAGGATAGTGTTAGCACAGACAGGGCCCCTACCATGGATGCCTGCCCTACCCCCACAAAGACCCCTCCCCCCCACAGACACATACAGGGTGGGATCAGCACAGACAGCACCCCAAGTGACCTGTTCCCTCTGCATGCCCGCAGGCTGTACTGCCAAGAGGAACTTCTGTGAGGGTACCTGGTGTCAGAATGGGGGCACGTGTGTCAGCAGGTGGAGCACATACCTGTGCTTGTGCCCGCTCCGCTTCGGCGGGAAGAACTGTGAGCAAGGTGAGTCCAGGCCCCCAGCACAACCCTCGTCCCCCATCCTCAGGAGAGGGTGGTGCCTGGGACCTTCCTCGGGGTCTCATGGCAGATCTGACCGCCGAGTGTCCCCGTCCCACCAGCTGTGGCCCCAATGGGCTGGACCAGACTCATGGGTCATAGAGCAGGCTGAAGCTACAGCCAAGGGTCACAGTGTCCATTCTGAGCAAGACTACGTGAGGCTGGGTGGCTGTGAAGGCCGGGCCTCAGTGGGGATCCTGGGCCCCAGGCGGCCACCTCTCACTGGTCATCCCCATCTGAAAGCTACAGATCCCTGGGGCCCAGCCTCCCAGCTCTGTCCCCTGGCCCTGCAGGGGGCTGGGACTGCCCACTGTGTCTGGGTTTGTGTGAGCAGGGAGTAGGCAGGCCGGTCACAGGGCTCCACGCCCCCGGAGGGGTTTGTGGTGACGATGTGTGTCCCTCTTGGGGGAGGGAGGGAGAGAGAGGACCCAGGGCCTATGTCTCTCCTAGTTTTCCCCATGGTCACTTCACTGGTCACCCCAAATCATCCAAGGGCCTTAGGGCAGCTGGGAGCATAGGGGCCACAGAGGGTTGGTTCCTGCCCCAGAGTGGGTGGCAGGGATTCCAGGTGCCCGTGCCAGCTGAGAGCTGCGCAGGCTGTAGGCCTGAGGGCCCGGGTGCACCTGTACGGTCCACACAAGTGTTTGTGCGTGTGTTGGCACCCAGGTGCCCATGCAGACTCACACTGTCTCAGATGCCTGCACACGATGCCCAGCCCTCCCCAGCCCTGAGGGCTGCCAGGCAGGTGTGGGTGTGGCAGATGGGCAGGGCTGGCCAAGATCCCCCAGCACCCTGTTCACTGTACCCAGGAGTCTGAGTTACCCTCTCTGCCTGGCCTCCCCACCCCACTGAGAGCACTTGATCCTCTGGCCAAGGTCCTAGCCTGCTCCCCCCAGGAGTCGGTCTCTGCAGGGCCTGAGGTGGGAACCCTGCTTGTGACAGAACTGCCCCTTTGGGTGGCTGTTCTGTCACCAGGCCTTTCTTACGCTGCACCTCGGTGCATTCAAACCGCCAACCTTCCCAGTAGTGGTCAGCGGTGAGATCATTGGCAATGGGCCTTTGGCACAGAAGCAGAAAAGGCTCAGACGTGCAGGCACACATACACACACACGTACACACACACATACATACACACACATACAAAAATACACACTTACATTCACATATATACACATGCCTATATATACACATACACATACACATACATTCACACACACATGCATGAGGTCACTGCGCCCTTCAGGGCATCTGAGGCCAGCCAGCTCTGTGTCCGCAGCTATGCCCCACCCCCAGCACTTCAGCGGCGAGAGCTTGGTGTCCTGGGGAGACCTGGCCATCACCATCTCAGTGCCCTGGTACCTGGGGCTCATGTTCCGGACACGGAAGGCAGGCGGTGTGCTGATGGACGCCTCGGCTGGCCTGTCCTCCAGGCTGCTGCTGCAGGTGAGCTGAGCTGGGGGGGCTCGCAGTGGGCTCGCCATGGTGCCCACAGCGGTCTGCGGGTTCTGCAGGGGGCAAGGGCAGGAAGTCGGGAAACAGTGGGGAGGTGGGGCCCGTGAGAGGCCCAGGGGTACTGCCCAGTCGGGGGGATGGAGTGGGAGCCTTGGGGCTATGTGGGCCAAGGGCCTGCCGTTCGATAGCCACAACCCGAACTCGCTGCCCTCGAGTCCATGCTGACTCCCAGTGGCCCTGCAGGACAGTGTGGAACTGCCCCGGGGGTTCCCAAGACGGTCACTCTTTGCTGGCGCAGACAGCTCGTCCCTCTCCCGAGGAGCAACTGACCATGCAGTTAGTAGGTCAACAGGTCACCAGGATGCCGTCAAAGGGCAAGTTGACCCTGATCTCCCCCCTGAAGCTGTGGCCTCTGCTGTGGTTGACTGGAGTCCTAGGACCACGGGGCCACCTTCCAGCAAACCAGAGAACTCTCCCCTGAAAATTAGCCCATCAGTGGCTCACCTGGCCTGCCAGCCAGGTGGCCGATGAGTGGCAGTGGTTAAAGAGCTCAACTCCCAACCAGGAGGTCAGCGGTTCAAACCCACCCACTGCTCCTCGGGCAACGAGGTGGCCGCCTGCTTCTCCAAGGACTCCAGCCTCAGATAACCTGCGGAGAGTGCTGCTCTGCCCTCTCAGGGGGAGGAGTCAGAATCGAGTGGACGGCGGGGGGTGGGGTGGGAGGGGTCCTCCGGGCACGCGTGCCAGCGTGGAAGCGGGCTCCGAGGGACCTGTATTCAGAAGTAGATCACCAGGCCTTTCTTCTGAGTCAGCAAGCAGGTTCCCTCCTGGGTCCTCCTCCTGCGCCTCGCACCCTGGGAGGAGCCTGTCCTGCACACTTCCCCAAAAAGCCCCGGGTAGCACCTCACCCTGCTCAAACTCCCTGCTGACCAGTCGACGCCAACTCCCAGTGGCCCTGGGAGAGGGTAGAGCTGCCCTGTGGGTTTCTGAGACGGTCACTCTTTATGGGAGGAGAGGCCTGCCTCTTTCTCTCAGGGGCCGACTGGTAGGTTCAAACTGTGGATCTCAGGGTTAGCAGCAAGCTTTCTCAAGACCTTAATTAGATGAAAGTAGCAGCGAGCGGTGGGTGTGAGGAATGCCTCCCAGGCGGTGGGGTCTGAGATGGTGGAAACAGTTAGGAGTTTGTCTGCGGAGGAAACACCTGGTCCCCACCCCATCCATCAGCTGCCCTCTGCGGCAGCTGCTCAGGAGGGTGGAGGGCCTCACCATCTGCCTGGGGTTTGCGGATGTCTGAAATGCTCCCCACTCAGAAGGGATCTTGGTGTGGGGCTTGCCCAGCCATGAGCTCATTCCCCCACCCTCAGACTCTGTCTGAGTGTCAGTGGGGACAGGACACCCTGCATGGTCACCCCTACCTGGTCTCTCCAGCCCACCAAGCGTTGCCTCAACTCCAGCGGCATGACCTCTGATAACGGGCACTCTGATGCCTGCTGGCCAGGCGCCGTTGAAGGGGACTGCCCGACCAAGGGCTCACCAGCTTCCCAGTGTCCCCAGCGCAGCCAGGTGGCCTCACATTGTCTCCTCCCAAGCTCTCTGTGTGTGCCCCAAGGGCCTGTGGTCCTCTGGGTTTTGTGTGGGTCTTTGCACACGAGTGTTCCTGGGGTGGGTGGGGGGGTGAGGCCGGTGGACTACAGAAACAAGCCCAGAGACAGTCATCCATGTGTAAGAATGAGCTTTTTATCAAGAAGTAATGATATATCAGGAAGACATCCCAGCCCAGTCCAACCCAAGTCCCTCGGTTCGATACTAGTCCATAAATCCCTCTTCAGGCTCCGGGAGCCAAATACAACGATGCAGCATGCAGGAAGGTCACAGGCTGGTGGGTGCAGAGTCTGGTGGGTCCAATGGAGGTGGGCGCATCTTCAGGGCTCGAGCAGGTCTCAGCGTGACTCATCAACAGGAAGATGAAGGCAGGGGGGGTGCGGGAGGACCCAGGACCCTCCTCATGAGCGGGCCACGCCCACAAAAAGGCGCCATCAGGCTGTGACCTCACGGACAGGCTAGACTCTGCCCCTACACTCCAAATTGGCATGAAATTATGTAACTACCACAGAGTGTATCTACATGTGTTTGTGTGTGAGCGTGCACGTGTGGGCTCTCTGTGTCTGCATGCGTTTGTATCTGTGTGCTCTGTGTGTCTGTGAGTGTTTGTCTGTGTGAGTGGGCACATTTCTATGCACCTGTGCGCTTGTGTGTCTGTTGATGGTATTTGGACATGCTCAGTCTAGGTCTTAGAAAGTGGAATTCTGTGCTGTCACCCAGAGAGACCGCTCCCTCCCTCCTCCCTCCCACTCTTTTCCGTTCTAACCCCCCCTTTCTCTCTCTCATTCCTTCCTTCCCCCCTCCCCATCTCCACCTCGCCCTCCCTCCTCCCTCCACCCTCCCCTTCTCTCCCCCCAAATCCTCCTCCATCTCTTCCCTCTCTTCCTCCCTCCTCTCCTCCACCTCTCCCTCCCTCTCTCACACAAGAAGCTGCTGCCTTGACCACTAGCCTCCTCCTCTGCCTGGGGGCGTGGGGTGTGGGGGCTGGGCATAGAATAACCCACCCCAGCACCTGGCAGCCCCACTGTTAGGAAGTCTCTTCCAGAGCTAGCTGCAGTGTTTCCTGCTGCAGCCTGTGCCCTAGGGCAACTTCCTTTCTTCTGGGGCCCCTGGGCCTGTGGGGCAGGAGGGGCAGTGGTGGTGGAGTCTTGCCTGGCATGGGGCACGGGCGGGGCAGAAAGGAAGACCCGAGTGGGTGGTCCATGAGGGCGGGGCCCCAGGAGCTCCTGGTGGTAACCTGGGCAGTGACTACCCTTCCCCTGGGCTATGCCTGGACAAGAAGCTGCCGTCTGCCCGCCCACCCACCTCAGCGCCCAGGAGCGTGTCCACGGGGCCCATGTACCGTGGGTGTAATTACCACTGCCACTGTCTGTCCCTGTTCACTGGTGGTGTTGCCCTCTCCCTGGCTGCCCCAGAAGTGCCCGCTCGCTCTCGGCACAGCTTGGCAGGCACGGTTCTGCCCGGGGCCGTGGCACCATTGGAACACATTAAATTGGCTGCTTGCGGTCCGGGTGATGAATGAGCTCTTGGCACCGGGGTCTCTGTCGGAACAAAGTATGCTTCCCACCCACATGCCCGACGGGCAGAGACGCCTGAGCCCTGACGTTCTGTGCAGCTAATCCAAGAGCTCGGTGTGTGTGTGTGTGTGTGTGTGTGTGTGTGTGTGTCTTTAATGGAGGAATTTGAGCAGCCCCTCCTTTGGAGGGGGGCGTGGGGGGGGAGTAGGCAGGAGCGGCAGCCTCTGGGACAGCCTCCAGACCCCTGTCACCATCCAGAGGCCCCAGGGACAGAATGCTGGGCGTTGCCAGAATGTCCCAGGTTATTTCCCACAGGCCTCCTGCAGGCCCCCTGGGCTCTGATGGGACAGTAAGGGGTGGGATAGGGTGGGGGGTCCTGACAGTCCCCCCTCCACCTGTGGTGGCAGGCTGGCTGAGCCCACGTCATCCACCCTGAAGCCCTAACCATTTGGGACATTGCTCTCTGGCACGGCTTCCCCCGCCCCCCCAAACCCGCCTGTATTCTCTGTGGGATAACACAGCTCTTGTTGGGAGGAGTTGGCCCACGGGTGGCAGATGGGAACTGCAGTAGGCAGGGCGCATCTTTGTTGACACAACGTCACTCATATTCTGCACCTTTGGGTGCTAGAGTCTGGGGAGTGAGGGAGGAGAGAGGAGCATGAGGAACAAACACAGGGGTCTCACAGCTGTGGAGGGGAAGGAAACGCCCCTCACACACACAAGGCGGCTAAGTGCTGAGCTGCTCCCCTCAGGGCCAACAGTTCGATCCCACCAGCAGATCGACCGGAGAGAAAGGAGGCTTTCTGTTCTCGGAAGGAGTTTGGGCCTAGGGACGCACAGCTCTGCTCTCCCTGTAGTGCTGTCACGGGTCAGAACAGGCTGGAGGGCAGTGAGATCTCAAACGTGGCATCTGTCAGAGGAGCCCTGGGCGCAGTGGGCAAAGCTGGGCTGCCGACCCTAAGGCTAGCAGCTGGAAACCATCCAGTGCTCTTTAGGGAAAAGACGAGGCTCTCTAATCCGGTGAAGAGGGAACGTCCCAGAAGCCCACGGGCGCAGAGTGAGTCCCTGGGAGTCGGAACCAGCCCCAGGGTGGCGTGAGGTTTGGGGAAAGTAAAGGGAAGCCAAGTTCAAAAGAAGGCAACAAGTAACCTTCTTACAATAGCTGCCCTTTGGGACCAGAAATCATTCTATCTCTAGATACGCACGTGTGCGCGTGCGTGTGTGTGCACGCGCGCGTGCGCGTGCGTGTGCGTGTGCGCATGTGCGTGTGTGTGCGCGCGTGTGCGTGTGTGTGTGTGTGTGTGTAGATGTCATTGGCTACATGACTTTCAGAGCTCAGTTCCTCATCGTTTCTGTCGTCCATCCTGGTCCCATCTTGGCGCCGTGGTGTCTGTATTAGAACTTTATATCAAGAAGTTATTTTGTATCCAGAAGGCAGCCCAGCCCAGCCCACTCAAGTCCATGGGTCCAATGCCCGCCAGGACCCTCTTCACACTCACGTGTCTGCAGGCCGGGCATTCAGAGAGTGAAGCAGGGAGCCGGGAGAGCACAGGCTGGCGAGGGGTAGAGTCTCGTGGATCCAGGGTCGGTGGGAGCCTGGTAGGGCCCCGACCGCTCTCAGGGTTGCGGTGGGGGAGCACATGGGGTCTCCCCTAGAGGCACATGCAAGAGTCCCAGCAATCAGGAAGGAGAAGTTCCCGGTGTCTGTCTCTCTACAGAGGCCACACCCCCAAGGGGGCATCATCATCAGACTGACCTGATTGACAGCTTGGACTCCACCCTGCACATTCCCACAGGGTCAAGTTGACATAAAACCTAACTGTCACACAGACTAAGGCCGGTCAGGGGAAGGTGGGCAGGAGGGAGATGCTTCAGAAAAACTCACGGCCAAGTTAAGTTTGTCTTTTCATCCTATTTCTCCAGGATCCTTCTGAAGCCCCCTTGTATTTCTCACGGGAGAAAGACGGCTTTCTACTCCCGTAAACATTACAGTCTTAGAAACTTACAAGAGCAGTTTGCTCTGTCCTATCGGGTTGCTATGACTCAGAATCGATGGGTCAGGGCGCCTCTCCCTTCTGGCAGATCCGGGATCATTACGTCCAGTTCGAGGTGTCCCACGGCCCCTCCGACACGGCGTCCACAGCGCTGTCCCGGACCCGCGTGACGGACGGGGAGTGGCACCACCTGCTGATAGAGCTGCAGAGCGCCAAGGAGGGCAAGGACATCAAGTACCTGGCAGTCCTGACGCTGGACTATGGCATGGACCAGGTGAGCATCACCACACCTGCCATCCACCCCTTGGAGGCACCGAGCGGGGCTTGAAGGAGATGTGTGCTGTGGCTGTCCTGGAGACCTCCCCGCCCCGGGTGGTCCACTCCAGACGGCGGCCATCCCCACCCCGCTCTGTCCCCTCCCCGCTCAGAGCACCGTGCAGATCGGGAACCAGCTCCCCGGGCTGAAGATGAGGAGCGTTGTAGTGGGGGGCCTGTCTGAGGACAAGGTGACCGTGCACCGAGGCTTCCGGGGCTGCATGCAGGTATGGAGGTGCCTGGGGGCACGGTGGGTCAGGTGTCAGGCTGCTCCCCGGAAGGTCGGCCGTTTGAAGCCCCCAGCAGCCCCTCAGAGAAAAAGGAGGCTCTCTGCTCCCAGAGTCACCGCCTCGCGGGTCCGCCCCACCCCGTCCTTAGGGGCACTGTGAGTTGGCATCCACTGGCCAGCAGGGAGTTTGGTTTGGATGCAGGTAGCTGCTCCCCCCCTTGACAGCGGCTCACGTCCGCGTTCAGAATTAGAGTATTGTCACCATTGGTGAAGGAATACCGTCTTTCTGAACACTGAAGTGATCAGCTGGATCGCGACACGCGTGCAGGTGACACACAGGAGATGGGGGAGGGGCGGGGGCAGAGCGTGTGTGAAAATAGGGTGCGTCTCTTAACAAGCCCAGCATTTCCCAAACTGAGCAGGTTCCAAGCAGATGTCCAGATTTCAAACTCAGACGCATCCTGTCC